GCGTCCGGGCCGTCGAGGAGCTGGATCGTCCCCGAGGTGCAGCAGGCGCCCGCGTAATCCGAGGACCCGCAGTCGTGCGCCGTCGTGCCGGCGCACTGGTAGAGGTACGCCTCGCTCCCCGAGCACGCGAGGTCGTCGTAGCCCACGCCGTAAGCGCCATCGGTGAGCTGCACCGTCGTATCGTTCGCGTACCAGTTCCAGGACCCGGAGGGGCTGGCGTAGCCCACGCCGCCGTAGGCGTCGCGGCAAAAGACGTGGGCGTCGACGATGTCCCAGCCGTCGTCGCAGACGTTATACCAGCCCGACGTGTAGGTGACGACCGTACCGCAGGTCGAGCCGTCCTGGATGAAGCCGTACTGGCCCGCGCGGGCGACCGCCGGGAGCAGCAAGAACCACAGTTCAAAAGCGTCCACCATCATCCATCGAAACTCGCAGTAAAGGTGAAGAAAATCAAGGGGATCTTCAAGTATCCTACTACTTGAAGATACTTGAAGATCCCCTTGAGAAAATGTCCAAGTATTATTGAAGTACTACTTCAACCTAACATGCCGTTTCTATCCCGCGGGGATGAGGCATTATGCCGCCGCCTCGACTTTAGGTCGCCTTACAACGTATCGATGTAGGACCCGTCGGGTCGGATGATCGTGTAGGGGAAGTAGCGGTCGTTGATGGAGTCGAAGGTGCACGTGGGCTCCGTGACGCGGATGGCCTTCTTCTTCTGGACGATGAAGTTGTAGCGCGTGCGCTGGACCCACCAGAGCTGGTAGTTGTGGCGGGGCTGGTGGAGCTCGAGGTCCGTGGAGCGGAACGCGTAGTTCGTGCGGTTGTCGTTGAACGTGACGAGGTAGTAGATGCTGTCCTCGTCGTACTGGTCCAGGGCCATGTTGACGCAGTCCTCCTTGTCCGTGGGCATGCACGTGATCTTCCCGAGGAGGCCCTGGAAGGAGAAGTGCGTGTCCATGTCGTTCGTCGGGCAGTTGGCGATGTCGTTGACCTCGCAGCGGTGCGCGCAGCCGTCGTTCTCGTACGCGAGGTCGCCCGCGACGGTGCCGCCCTCGCCGTAGGAGCCGGTCCGGTGGGGGTGGGCCGAGCAGCCGGGCCAGTAGAAGCACTTGCCGCCGTAGGTCTTGCCGACGAGGTAGGGGCTGTCGTAGTAGCCCGTCTCGTTGTTGCCGCCGATCTTCGGGCACTCCGTGTTGTAGTAGCGCCGGCCGCCCCAGGCGTCCGTGAAGTTGGAGCACTGGAGCGTGTCCTGGTCCTCCTCGAGCGTCGGGCAGTAGGGGTACTCGGCCGCGGCCTCGTCCTTGGCGAGGTAGTGGTTCAGCGTCGACAGCCGGTTGCTGTAGGGGCCCGCGGTGTCCTCGAGCATGTTCTTCGGGCAGAAGAACGTGCCCGTCTTGAGCTCGTTGTTGTAGCCCGGCGGGCAGCAACACTCGGGGCTCGACTCCTTGATGTAGACCATGGAGCCGACCTGCGGGGGGGACGACGGGGTGACGCGAGTATAGATTTGAACGTCGACTTGCCGCAGCCGTTCTCGCCCACGAGGCCGACGATCTCGCCCTTCGACGGCGCCGGATCATCGATCTCGACGCGACGGGGTGACGCTTCGACGGCGCCGGACCATCGATCGACGCGACGGGGTGACCCTTCGACGGCGCCGGACGATCGATCGACAACCGGCGCGACCGATCGAAGAAAGACGCGCCGGTCCGCGCGCGCATCGTCGACTCCTCGTAGTTGCAGGCGATGCGGTCGACGACCTGGATGCCGTAGGCGAGGTCGATGGTCGTCGTCGTGTAGCCCGTCGTCAGGGCCGTGTCGATGCGCTTCTCGTTGATGACGAAGCTCTCGTCCGGGTTGTAGGGCGACCCGTTCTCGCGGTGGAGCTCGATGAACGTGCCACAGTGCGGGTGCTGGCTAAAGTCCTCGTTGTTCGGGCTGCCGGGCTCGCCGCAGTTGATGATCATCGCCGTCTGCGTGAAGGCGACCTGGACGCAGTTGGGCCGCTCCGTGCCGTCGACGTCGAAGCAGCTCGCCGACGCGTTGACCGTCGCGTTGTTGTCGCTGCAGTAGGGCTGGATCGGGAAGGGCCGCATGCCGAGCCGCGTGCCCTGGCAGTGGCTGAACTCGTTCGTGCGCACGAGCTCGCCGTTGGACTCGAGCCGAAACATGACCTCGCCGTCCTCCGGCGCGCTCTCGCACTCCTCCGCGAGGAAGGTCTCGTCGTCGGCGCGCCGCCGCTCGCTCGCGTCGATCTCCGCGCCCTCCGCGTCGACGAGGTCCACGTTCGCGAGGATCTCCCCGGGAAGGGGGATCCTCAGAGCGA